TATTCAAAGTGGTTAGGATAGATATATAGTTACATTCTCTTAATGAATAGAGGGATTTGTTCTAATGGTGTTTGTAAATAGGCTATCAAGTCCACATCTTGTACAGCAATTAACAACTAAGAAGAATGTATGCAATGTGTTAATTATTGAAACTGTCCTACCAATTTGATTTGAAAGTGTCTCATTGTGATTTGTTTCTCAGTAAAATCATGGAAAGAAAAAAGAAATATTGGGGCCGGGGAGATGGCTCAGTGGAATAAGTGCTTCCCTGGCAAGCACAAGGACCTGAGTTCAAGCCCCAGTTCTGAAAGAAAGAAAGAAAGAAAGAAAGAAAGAAAGAAAGAAAGAAAGAAAGAAAGAAAGAAGATTTAAAATTACAAAAAGAAAAAGAAAAAAGAAAGGCAGGGGGTGGAGCCTAGTGGGTGGGCCTTTTCCCCAGGAAGCAGGAGGTTGGGAGCCAGAAGTTAATGACTCTTACATTTTCTGTAGAATCATTTTAACGTTTGATGTAGAGTAGAGCATAGAGTTAAAAGCAAATAAATCAGTACACCAGGATAAAATGTCCTGGTCTATTGTTTTCTCTCCACAGGGGGCTTGGCCTCAGTAATCTACACAGATACTCTCCAGACCTTCATCATGGTGATTGGTTCTTGTATTCTCATGGGTTTTGGTAAGTTGTGACAGTGTGCACAGTGCTTCTGGGCCCAGAAATCATGGAATGCTTCTGTCCGCTTTGTAATTCAACCCCTGGTTGTACTAGGTAACATTTTCCTATTATATGCTTTCCTTCATGGAAATGTCTAATTTCTTTCCTCCTATATTGTCACAGTATGAGGAATTACAGATTATCTTTCAGAAAATTATTCCTTAAATTATGTTTTAAACTTAATTTTTGATGTTTATAATGGACAAAATTGGTGTTATTGAGTTGATAGATTTACACAATATTGATGCAATGGATTTAAAGCACAAAAATATTTCATTTACATAAAATTTTCATGAAATTGAGGATTAAATATTAGGAGAATTTTAAATATTTGCTTTAGAGCTCATTATGACTTTTTTTGGAATAATTGTGTTAAAAGACATTACAGACATTTGAGAAAACAATGTGATATTAAACCACTATTGAATACCTATCAGCTTCTTTTGAAATTGTGTAACATTTCTAATACTTTATCTATT